TTTTTTTTTTCCAATTTCATTTGTCTGAATTAAAATTCATTATAATCTTTTGAAATCATGAAATTAGTTGAATAATAATAATTAAACCAAACAGCGCTTTAAATAATGTTTATTTTATCTACAAAAAGAAAAATAACTGCTCCAAAAACTAATAGGTACCTGTTCCTGCAGTTCTTGGTGCCTTCATGATACTTGGTGTCTCGTAACCCTCCCCATTCACAGCAACAACACGCACCTCGTATTCTGTGGCAGGGTCAAGGCGGGTCAAGACGATATAGTCCTTCTCTGTCTCAATAGGGGTCTTTGACCAAGTCGTCTCATCTGAAGTGAAGATATTAATAGAAGATAAGGAGAAGCTAAAAATGGTGTTAGGATGAAAAAATTTAGGAACTGGACAAGTGTTGTAATATGTATATTCTATAATAAAAGTATTTTAATATATGTCCTATAGGAGTTCAGTGGACTGTCTAGGAATCCTACAGGACTCTACAGGAACCCTACAGCCCTCTACAGTAATCCTATAGGACTCTATAGGAGGTCCTATAGGAATTCTGCCTGTGACATATGCACTTTAGGATTAAGGGTCAACTTCCTATAGGATTTCCTATTGGACCCTATAGGAAATTCTTGTCAAGTGTTTGAAAACAAAGAGACAGAGAACAGGGGGCATTCACACTCATATTCAGCATTTTATATAATAATAAGTGTTAATTGGGACATTACCTGGTTTCTTATACTCCACATAGAAACCATATCCAGGGTTCTCGTCAGCGGGTACCCATGTGACCGTCATGGAGGTGGGTCCAGACACAGTGACCAGGTCCGGCCGCTCTGGGACTGTAAAATATTCGAAATTATTTCAAATTTTATGGAAAATGAAAATGTTGGTTTTTGATATTTTAGTGGTTTTGTCATATTAAACAGTATCATTTGCCATCTGATTTCTTCCTCTAAGATCTGGCCAACATCCAGTAAAGACAAATTTCAACAGAGTAAAAGTTTCATACTGATTAGATTAAAATGCCTCAACATCCACATGTGAAAATCCTCAAATGAAAATTAAGTCACTCTCAGGAAAGAAAAACTTTACAAGTATTTTATCTTTGACTCTCCAAGCAAGTTAAAAAATGTGGACAACGCATTTCCCTTAACAGTACATCTCACATAGAAATAATGACCCATTTTACTGTTGCTAACAGTTAAAATGCCTGTGTGTAAATGGTTTAATACAACATTAAATCTAGATGTTTTCAGTGCCTTACATCCCATCGCCAATGTCATCTCCTCCAGAACAGCCTCTTCTCCTCGCCCAGCGCCTGTCCTGGCATACAGCAGTACCCTGTAGTTGGTAACTGGGTCAAGGTCAAGCAGTTTGACCTTCATCTGACTAGGGTCATCTATGGACAAGGTCTTAGTGGTGTCCAGTACGTCATCACCGCGGCTACGCGTATTGTTTACTGTTGGGAAGAAATTGAAATCAGTAAGCACACTTTTTATATGATTAATAAAAATGTTAAATTCTGAAGCATATCTGATAACTTTACTCTACTGAAATTTTTAACTTGATTTTGATTCAAACAGGACAGACCTGTAACTGTCATGTCTGAAGCCTTTTTATCTCTATATATATAAATGTACATACCCATGCAACGTTTTGAATATGAGAGAAAAATAATACACTATGATAGATATGGAATTTAAAATGTCTATATTCACCAACACAAACTAATTCTGTAGGTATGCTATGTTCATATAATAATAATAATAATAATAATAATAATAATATTTACTATTTCTGTATGCAATGTCATATCCTAAGATGTTTCCATTAGGAAAGGCTGGCAGCTCCCAGCTCAGCTCTAGGTGGACAGGACCTTTCCTGAATACTTTGAAGTCTTGAACAGCAGATGGCGCTAGTTGATAGGATGGGAAAAACAAAACTCTTCGATCAAAGTTAAATTCCAAATTTTACAATTCCAAAAGAGAGATGCTAACTACAATAAAATGTGACTTTAATGTAAGACATGCCTTTAAAAAAAGTTTATTAGGTTTTTAGCAGCGGCTATTGTTGATGCTTAACAGACACATTACATTAAGGAGAGAGAAACTTTTCTCATTTTCTCCATTACCAAAAGACTGTAATAAAAATATCACTGTCAATAAATTGAAAACTGATATCTGACTCATAAACTCCCAAAACTGTTCCAAAAACCTTGGTCATTCACAGGATATCCTAAACCATGTTTTAGAATATGTGACCCCCTACCTCCTTCATCAGTCCTGAATATGACGGAATTACTGGGTTCTCCTGTGTACTTCTTATTTCTAACAGCCACCTGTGCCACGACTGACGTGAAGGGCGGAAGCTGCTCCAAAGTTCCCGATACGTACTGTAAAACTTGTCGCCCAATGCGCCTGTTCTTCAGATCGCGAAGCTCGTTGTTTGGGTTGTTGATGGGGACGACAACGACAGAGGTGTCTTTGGGGTCGTCTTCTGGCCACCATTTCATCTGATATACACATAACAGCATTACTTTTGTCTTCAGTTATTAAAATAATAAAATATGCACTCCAGATAACTTTGTAAATTTTCTGTACAATTTGGTAAACAATGAAATAAAACAAAAAATAAAAACCACTGGTACGTTAGATGGTACCCAAGTTGATGCAGATTTTTAAGTTAACTGCATTTTGTCTTCTGATAATTTTCTGTTTTCTTTTTCTTTTTGCAGACAGATACATATATGGAATGGTTAGAAGTCCCAAGAAGTACAAATGTAGTCATGTTTAAAAACAATTCTACTCCATTCTCACCTCGTAACCAACAAAGAATCCTTGCACCGCTTCGTGTGTTGCATCAATGGCGTCCCACAGGAAGTTGGCCGTGGAGTCCGTAGGGGGGTACTTGTGATCCAGTCGGAAGTTTTGGGGGATCGCATTTGGTACTGGAAGAAAGAACTATCTAACATTACAATATCTCATTATTATGTTACAATTTGTCTTGAATCATCAATGTTCCTTTTTCACTTTCTTTCAATGCTTTATTCTTTAATTAAAATAAGGGCAATTTATATGGTTCTAGTTTACACAGGAAAGCACATAATTAAAACAGGAATTCTATCCCAGATTATGAAGTCTTGGTCATGGGGTTGGGGGGGGGGGGAGGATGAAAGGAGGGGGGTCTATCTAAGAATTTTCAACCAAGACACATCTGAGAATTATCCTCACCTCCCTCTCCAGAGAATCCAATAATTTTCTCCGCTGGCTTCCTGGCAGTTCCCATTTCATTCACAGCTTCTATTGTGATTTCATATGGCACGTATGTCTCTGACTCTATAAGAGCCTCCTTTTTGGTAAAATCGTCGATCTTTTTCGTCATTTCAGGGGCATTAGGTTGATCAAGTCGGCGATAGGTTATAAGGTAATGAAAGCCTGGACCGTTCAGTTCTGTTTCATCCAATGCCTGGTCGAAAAATAGATATTTACTACAAAACTAGACCAATCAATAAATTTTTTCAATAATTTAGATTAATTTCACCCAAAGAAAAGGTCAGACAAATTGGCATAAAGAGCTTAAAACGTAATTTTCTGATTGCAAATTAAATGTGATTAATTACTCTTTTTGATGTAAAAATATTTTTGTAATAATCTAAAAACATAATGAGAATACATCACTTCAAAGGATTCATGTATATATATATTTATTAGAACTGACTATACCAAAAGTATGAGAAAGACAGTTGGAAGAATTACACACCACACTGAATCACCAACTTAATTTCCTTCAAATCTCATCCACCAGCACACTTACGTCCCAAACAAGATACAGGGAGTCGGAATCGTAGTCCTGAATTTCGGGGTTACCAGGCTGCCTTGCTGGCACATCCGCAGGGGTGCGGCACAAGGTCGAAGTATGGCTACTGGGCTGACTTGTCCCGATTCTGTTCGCGGCCTTGACCCTAAAGTTGAAGGTCATGTAAGGGAACAACTCCACCACGGCACTGGTGTAAGGCACGTTGACGGTCTTGATCTCTAGCCATTGGTCAGGATTCCTGGAGTTGTTGTACTCTATGAAGTATTGCTGGATGGGGGCGTTATTGGGCGGCCCCGGGGTCCACGATATCGAGGCAGACCTGGTGCTGCAGCTGTTCAGAATAACGTTGGTGGGGGGTTCTGGGGGTGCTGGAAATGAAACGCAGAGAGTGACAAATCTGTATTACTACATATACACCTCTGCTAAGGAGGTTATGGTTTTGCCATTGTTGGTTTGTTATTTGACAGTCTAACTCAATATGGTATGAAATTTTGGCAAAAACTTAAAGGATAAATCAGAAATGAGCAAACTTAAAATCTGTCAGATATATTTTAATTTTGGTTTGTCAATTTAATTATGATGAGAATTGAGTTGCTTTGGGTGAGGTCTGTGCTCGCCGAGTACTTTTGGACTTTTATATATAACTATATTTTTAACTTAATAGGTTATCCAACGTTTTATCTTGAACTTGCATATATCCTAACAAATTAAATGCCATCTAAAATCTGACCTCATGAAATAATGCAGCTCGATTCAAGGAGGCACCGCAGTAAAGGAAACACAACTATTGTAAAGATTAAAACCTCATTTAGGTTGACTATGGATATACTGCCGTTTTACTATATAATGAACCTCAGAAAATGTTTGTTTAATATAATATCCAATATACTTTACCTTGTCTTCCCACTCTTAACAAAGCTGCATGCAATAAAAGATCAACAAAGATAATGTCTGTAATCTCAAACTACACTAACATAATTTAATATTTTAAACCTATTACCTGGTTAGTTCTAAAATCAAAATAACATGAAAATCAGTGAATGATACCAATAATCATAGTATGTAAGGATTATTAGATACGAGACATCTACAGTGCCTCTTATGTTTTGTATCTTTTTCTATTACATTTTTTTTCATCTTTCCTGTATTCCATGAAAATAATAAAAGCATTAAGTTGCACCAATTCTGAATCCAGAACCAGAACTATTAAATATTACCTATTCTGCTGTATTTCTCACAGTCAAAACTTCTTTCTCCACATTTTTTTTTTTTTACCTTTTTCAGGTTTTTGTGTCTGGTTTTCACATCTTTTAGATAAATGACAGACAGTTTTGGGGTGTTAAAAGTATAATGGAGACAGTAAATGATCCTAAATATGAAATAAATGTCCTTAATTATGAAAATCTATATGAAATAAATGTCCTTAATTATGAAAATCTATCTGATCAGCTGTGAAAATGCAACTTGATTAGTAACTTTCAATGGAACTGTAAAGGAAACTTTTTTATCAAATACAAAACCATAAACTACACATACCTTCCACTGTCAAAGTAGCTTCTCTCTTGTCCTCATCCAAGCCATTACCTGCCACACAGGTATACCGAGCATTGTCATTCCTGGATGCAGGGTTAATTACCAGTGACCAATCATTACTTAGGGTGAGGCGGCGGTCTATGTTTAGGTTGATTGGTTGGTCATCTTTTAACCAATAAATACGCAGCTTGTGCTCTTCTGCAGCATCAGTAGTAGCTCCACAAGACAAGACAGCCTCTTCACCTATTGCTACAACTTGATCTGTAGGTGGGTTGTCAATTACGGTTTTTTCTAAAAGGAAAATCAAAATAAATTTAAAAAATCCTTTTTTTAATATATGAAAATTTTCAGATTTTTTTATTTTGTTTTCCTAATTTTGGGTATCAGAAAAATGTATATTTGCAAGAATTTGGCAAAAAATGAAGCTCTTTAACAAAGTGTTTATAAACTTATCAACTGATGCATTTATAATTTTTTCCTTTTGCCTTAGACAACAATGGAAGAAAACACCTTTAATTTAGTATATAAATGCCTGATACCACCCATAAAGGATAAGTTAAAAATGTCCACCATGTTTCCAGATTCTCACCTCGGACTACCAGCTCCCCAGATGCCTGGATGTTGCCGTATGTGTTCCTTGCCTTACACAAGTAGTGACCACTATCATCAAGCCTCAGGTCCTGTAATAATCATCATTTTATTCTTTAATATTGAACTCAACTCATTATCATCATTTTCTCTTTAATATATCTAACCCAATTCAATGTTATAAAGGTTTCAGACCACTTTTCGAGCAGTTTTGGACTTGAATGTCAATCTATGTCCTTTCCTACAAATAGTCTCCAGTTAAGAGGATGAATTCCTAAGGTTAGCTGTCAATTAACACTCAATTCCAATAAACAAAGGTCTGATAATTTTTCTTTCCAAATGATTTGGAATGGTGAATACTGCGGCGGTATCGAAAAAAAATCCAACTAAATATTTAAATTTTTTAGATACACATAGACATTTTCTTTTCTTTTTTTTAACTACTATCATTTTTTACCTTTTGTTTTCACCTTATACTGATTTTGTGCACAGAGGAAACATGTAAGCCTAAACAACAAAACAATGACCTGCCACCATAACCAAACCATGTCCTCCAACACCCAGCTTTCCTACCTCAATGACCAAATCTCCATCAGCAGTGACGGTGTGCCTGCCGCCACTTAGAAGCTGACCTTCTTTCTCCCACGTTATTTGTGGGATAGGAGCACCAAACACACGACACGTCAGGTTAACTTTCTGGTCAACCACTTTCTTGATGTACTTGGGGGGCTCCGTAAGGAAAATGGGTGCCTCAGCTGCAAAGGTCAAAGGTCATATGGGATGTGATGAATGGGTTAGCCATGTTTTAACATGAGATGTGTTCCCCTTCCCTTGTTACTGTGACACAAAGTTTCTTTAATCAAAGTTGAAGATTTATCATTTTCAGTTATGTATTACAACTGCCGTTTTCAACCTTTTTCTTCCCTTCCCCCCCCCTCCCCCTCAGGTTTTTCGAGCAGAATTTCTATTGTTAAATATTTCACCTCTTCAATAACTGACTTTCAGCCTGCAAGCCCAAATACCAAAAACAGAGATAGTGTAAAGCTACATTCACAGCCATTTGATCTGTCAGCTTGTACCGGGATCAAATATGGCGCATACATGACAATGAATTCCTGCCTCCCACATGCGCCATCCCTGCAGGGGCAAAACAATTACATATCGCCATGCTTTCAAGTAGGTCACATACACCATATTTGATCAATAGACTAGCCAGGCTCCGGTCAAACTGGATGTGAACACGGCCTAAAAGTCAACCCAATACAACAATAAAATCTGCTCACCTAGCACATTCAAGTAAGCACTGGCAAAGATATACCCGTGTTCATTGGTTACATTGCACTGTACCACACAGGTGTCTGCTGTCTGCAGGGACTTGAACTGGAGCGCCATGCCGCCATTGATCAGGCTCCTCCTAGAGCTGGCTGGGATATCTAAGAGGAAAGAGGCAAATATTAACCGTGTCTGAAGTATTTCAGTGTGTTGGTGATGTCAAATAAAGAGAGTAAGGCTGTCTTGTACAATGCAACAGGTCTGTCTTTGAATAGGCAGGACTCATGACTGCTTAAACTTACAATTTCTGTCATTTGTCAGCCTATTGCCTTTGCTTTAAACTGTCATTCATTGTTAACAACAAGACAATCAATGGAGATATTCTCTCTAAGTATTGGTGTCCCAAAGCATGCCTTAACTACATCTTCATCCAATCCTTACCTTCTAGTTTCTCTCCGTTGATGAACCACATGACGTTAGGGATGGGTTTACCGCCAGCCTCACACCTAAATATCTTGGTCTCTTGCTCTTCAATGTTTGTATCCGTAGGTTTCTCTATCCAGTATGGCTTTCCTTTAAGAAATTAAAGAGAAGGTGTGATTTAAAAAAATTAACAAGACTAGAAGGCATGAATAATTAGGCTCAGTCTAAGAATTTGCTTGTCTTTTCTTTTTTTATTGTTAGTTGCAATATAGTTCTGTTATCAGAGGAATAGTAATACCCAAGTTCTGAAATCTTTCAGGATATCTTCAATTGTTTCCTCATTTTTTTCATCAGGTATAATTAACATTTCACTTTCACTTGAAATTTTAAAAGCATTCTATTTGCTTCACACAAATTATCTTTTAGTAGAATGTTCTACATATATGTTACTGCACTGTTAAACAAAAAAAGAGTATTTATTTGTTAACTTATTCAACCTTTTCTTAAAAATGGCTGTGTGTAACCTTAACTGCTGGCCAATTACCAAAACAGGTACAGGTATCAAACTATCAACATGAGAAAGTGGTCTAAATAAGCAAGGTGGGTATTATACCAACTGTGAGATGTTAACCACGCACATGCAAGTTCAAACAAATAATGCAAAGTCTTCAAATACAGTTAGCAATAAGTTTCAAACTTTTGTCTTCAAAAATGCTATTTTGAATGGGGAAAAAAATCAAGCTCCAAAATCCTTACATCCCTGTCTGGTCTATTCACTATTTAAACATTTGAAGGAACATTTAATTAAAGAGTTTAACATCTTAAACCTAAAAAATAGCAATATATTCAGTACGTTTCAAAACAATGCTGTAGAGGGAATAAGCTCATGAAATCTGAAAGAAACTACTTTTTGAAAAGCGACACTGATACAGCCACCTAATTTTGCAAAAGGGCTGTTAAAATCGCCACGATGTGGAAGGGTTGAAATATTTTTTTTAATGTTTCTACTACTGATGCACAAATGCAGAAGTTCAATGCATTCATACTTGGACGTAGCATTGTTGTTGAGTTTCTTTCTGTAATAAAAGCCCATCAAAATAGTGTATTTAATTATGCATAATCGTGATCTCTTGATCTATAAAATATCTGAGCATAATTAAGTTTCACACTTATCTCATGTTAGTTTCATTTTATTGGAGATATTTAGGCTAAGATTTCTGCGCTTGCCATTGAGGATGTACACATCTACATATCACAGAAATAGAATATACTTCAGATATGTGTGTACTCGCAACTTGAACATAAAAGTCCTCAAACTGATGTATACAAAGTAACCTACAAAATGTCATTTGTGAACTATAACTAGTTTTCACACTGTCATTAAACCACCTGTCACCTGGTTGCAATCAGAGCAGACTTCCTGCAGAAAACTTCACAAAGCATCCACACATGGAGCAAAAAAATTGACCCCGAGAGATCAAAGGAAATTATACCAATTTATTTCAGTAAGTAGATGTTTGACATTCTTTGATACTTTTTTTTTTCAGTTTTTTGATTTTCAGTGCATGATAATAAGTTTGTTTCAGACAAATACTTATGTTTTAAGTAGCAAATAATCTAGGTTCAATTTTTTAAGGTCATAAGGGCTATTGTGTGTGTCTGTATCTTAATTAATCTTAGCCACGTGTTTGTTCATCTGTTTGCTTCCCTCAGGCTCCATTCAGAATAGGGGATTAACTAGTCCGAGGGCCAAATATGGTGACCTACTACAAAGTTTGCCATCTTATCTGCTAATAAACACTGAATAGATATCCAGTGAAGAAATATTCAAGTGGGTCGGCCATATTTGAACCTCAGACTAGTTAGTCCCCTATTCTAAATGTTGCCTCAGTCTGATTACAATTATTTACCTTCCACAGTGACTTGAAACTCCCTGTAAGCACTGGGATTGACCCCATTATTTCCCTCACAGAGGTACGTCCCCTCGTCCGCCTCTTGGATGTCCTCGATGACGATCTCGTGGCCGTGCTGGGACTGCTGGTATCTGGGGCTGCCTCTCATTCTCCGCCATGTTATTGTTGGGGTGGGACTAGAAGAGGGATTGGAAGATTATCATACATATGTATATCTCTGCTGAGATGTTGCTAATCAGAACATACAAAATTGTTAGTTTCTGGTTTTTTATTTCTGTATTTTTTTCTTTTTTTTTTCTTGATGTGTGCTAGTTTCTGGCAATACTGCAACTGTGTTTACTATCATGGTTAAAAATGTTATCTACAAACAGGGTAATAGTTTGACTTGAGACTGTAACAAAACTTCAGCAAAGGGCAATACTTACTCAACCCACAAATCAGAGAATGAGACTTAATTGTGAGAAGTCATGCTTATTTAATTTGTAATTAACAACTCTACTGGTAGAAATTTAGTTCACATAAAAAAGTTTGCCATTTTTCCACTGTTACATAACAAAACATATTAAACATAACTGCTACTTACTATCCACCAAAAATGCACTTCATCCTCAGCGTCTCTCCCCTCATCTTGATAATAGTGGTAGGCGAGGAATAGAGCAAGACAGGGGAATTTCGACGAGCTTGCGCTGCAGGTAAATAATTTAACTTTTATCATCATATGTGCATAGTATGTTGATCAATAATATAAGAGACTCATCACTCAACACTATCAGTTAACCACATTACTTTTAACTGGTACACTGGGACTGGTAAATGTGACCGCACCCCACCCCACCACCACACCCAATGCATAGTTACATGTTTGTTATTGCCAAACTAGAGCGGTACAGAAAACAGTACCCCTCAATGTAAAAAGGTCTGTACATAGTTTAATGGGTATCTTCGTACCAATTGTACCCTGCGGTTCTATCTGAGAGTCTCCGCCCTGAACCGTCGTCCTGATGAAGTTATTGGTCACTGCGCAGATGTAAGATTTACCATTCTGGGCATCATCAGGAATAATATTGGCGAAGTAGAGATTTCCTGGAAAAATAGAGATTTAAATGCAATTATATATTTGTAAGCTATTTAATTGTTCAAAGCAAAAATTCTACACTTACGTATAAAAATTGCAGGCATAAAGAATATGGAAATTCAACTCAATTCGACTTATCACTGTTCTATTGCATACATTTTAAAGGCCTTGTTCAATGAACTATAATATTCATCCTACCTTCGTAATCCATGGTAACCCTACTACTCTCCGGCACACGGTCTTTCCTGATGTTCCACACAACGTCGCTGGCGGGAATACTCCTAGGGGAGTCACAGGGCAATTTTAGGCTTTGCCCCACAGTGGGGCGAACTTGTTTGGGGGTCACAACGGGATTTCCAGGAAATGGATCCATCACTGAGAAAATCGAAAAAAAATTCCTTAAATACAACCAGGCATCTTGATTTTGTTTTTTTTTTATTAACTCACATTATGTAATCTCATGTATGACTGAGATAAGATTTTTGTCAACTGAAGCAATTAAGATGGAATATCCACTTTAAAGTTAAAGAAATCCATTCATATTCACATAATAAAGACTATCATCTGCTGTGTTATGTACTCAATTACAGTAGCAATTTCTTCTATATTACTTCTAAAATTAGAATAACTTTGTCAAATTTTTCTGAATTCCATGCCGTTCCAGTCACCTTCATCAGAAAATGAGGCTACTGGTGCCATGAAAACTTCTTCCCCAGACAAGCACTCACCCCCCCCCCCTCCCACCTGCTCTGCCCCCCCTCCATATTCACATATTTCCCCAAGGCCTCACCTGCTTCCAAAAGGGTGACCTTCTGGGTCAGCGCAGTTCCGTACTCGTTGATGGCCCTGCACTGATACACCCCCTGGTCCTCGCTGACAGGATCAGAAAACGTCAGCGTGCCCAGACCCCTCTCCTGATCCACGTCTGTATTGGCCTCGGGGTTGAATGGACGGCCATTTTTGGTCCACTCGTATCTAAGAGATTATTTATATATAATTAAATATTTAGTTACATCAAAAACTGACAATAATATTCAAGATACAAGGGGGATTTTTTTTCAGTCAAAAGCATCACGCTGAAATCTCAAGACAAATTTCGATATCAAACAAATTTGTCTTGCAAGTTCTACATAAAATTCGAAAATCGCAAAAATATTCATTTGACTTGATAAATTCACAGAGAAAATGTATTAGTTTATTCAAACATATACCCAACAGAAATAAAAAAATTGAAGATATAAAATTATATAGATGACATCTTGAAAAACATGGCATCACCAAAGATATGACAGCTAAATGCACGCTTACGTAGGTTCTGGATTCCCAGATGCCACACACACGATCTGTCTTGACAGTCCTTTCTTGAAAATGATCAGTTGGTCGTCTGACTGTCTTGTTATAGAGGGCGGGTGGGTTTGTCCTGGGGGTACATCTAAAACAGAGAATGGAGTAGAAATGTAAATAAATAAATCTTATATTTGTCCCTCTTATTATTATGAGATATATGAATATGTAAAATTCAATTTATAATTTTAAAACTTTTCCCAGATAGGTTGGATGCATGTTATGCTTGTTGACATAAATTTTTTAACCATTTGCTGGATTCAAAATAAAAGATAACCACCATAAGACAAACATGTCAGTTTTATTTTGATATAAGATCTAGGTTCACTTTCAAGACAGCTGAGAGAGCATTTCCTACAAAGACATCCAACTTGTTATGACCCGAGCTGTCCCATAAAACTTGACATAGACTTCATCTAGTAGTTTAAACCTTTCAAAATGTTGTCATGATGGATTTTCAGTTGAAAAACATTCTTTTACTGATGTCTTATGCCATAGCATGACTGGCTGTCAACAGGTTTATAGGGTTAGACCTGGTTGTGGATTGGTACATGTATATTTATATCAGAAAATAACAGCATTTTACAATACAATTAACAACATCTGATAATGAAAACAGAACATATTTGTTTTCAGAAGACTGGAGATAAGATGAGAAACATAAATCAAGTCATATCTTGTTCTTCAAATGCAGAACATGTGTCTGTTATTTCAGCAAACAGACCTTGTTCATCTGAGGTTCAAAAATAATACAATAAATGATGTTTGAAAGCATATGACTTAGACAACAAGACTGTTATCTGTGAACATAAACAAAAAGATGATGACATATTTTGAATCACTGAAAAAATGCTTATTATCATTCAGAGGAAATAAACTTGCTATGGCTACAGGTTCAGAGCAACATGCTAGTGGTTGATATGTGTTTAGTTTTCTTGTTTTACTGATTATAAAATGTAGAACAACAGTTGGCAATATTACCCCAGTTCTCCTAATTCTACCAGATAATCATCTTCTAAATACAGAATGTTATTTTTTTTTTTTTAGATTTTGTTTGTTTGTTTAATTGTGATTGTTTAATAACATATTCACAAAAATTGTATTCATAATGTCATTTTCATCCACACAAGTGGATGCATATGTTACAGTGAAATAAACTAAACTAAACTAAACTTAACTATATTTAATATGTTACATATATGTAATCTGATCTTGACAGATTTTCTAATCCAAAATAAGTCTTATACATATGTCCAGCTTCTACACAACTTCTGATAAGCAGCCAACATCTTAATCATCCGTGACATTAAGAAGGAAATCTTTTCTGCCACATTTGGTTATGTTGGACAGGCAGATTAGTTTTAACTGCTCACTCCCCAGGGGTACTTCGCACATATGACAAGTTCTGAGGGCAGTTTAATATTTTATGAATCGGAGGTTTGTGGCGAGCAATGAGGCGTCAATACCACTGGTACTTCAATGAGTAATTCGTACAGAGAGTAGTAACAGGTCCAGTATTCATACAGGAAGTACTAACAATTCCAGCACTGAAGAATGAGTACAAACACAAGTGTTATTGTAGTCGAATTATTCCAGAAATGAATGGGATACAGGTTTTCATTGTTGTGTACAAAAGTGCCTTTTTTTGTGGCTTTTTTCAACTCACAGGGGTGTATAAAAGAGATAACTATCACACTTTTTTTCCTCTGACAAGCAAGGGCTAGGGGTTGCTTATGGCTTATCTGATATAATTATTGCTCTGTCGTCTGATTCTGATCAAATGCCATGCTGCCTATGCTACACATCCACTGATTGACACAAAACATGACTAATTTAAATTTATTCCTTTTGAACTTTCAAAATAAAAAAGATTATGGATAAGACTGTATTAAATCAATATAATCAGTGACTATCTTAATTTTTATTTTTTAAAGTGAAATATTTCACTGTTGTTATGTAGGTGATATTTCAGTTCTTTATTTCTATCAGTAAAATATTATAAATTTGTCATGCAGATACAAACTTTTGAATAAAAAGAAGCTTACTTACAAGATCTCACTGTTGAAATAAACAGACAATACAAAGAAAACACCAGCGCTCGCTGTAATTCTCCCATCCTCCGTCCTTCTTTCACTGCTCTATGTTGAATCCACTTCTATCTGTAAAACACAAGTATACAACAGTTATTCTTGCAATGTCTATGAATAACATGGTCAAAAATGAAGCATGAATCACCGAGGAAAAATGGCATCAATTTTAACTAATATAGCGTGAAAAAAAAAAAATAATAATAATAATAATTTATTCAGTTCATAATATGTCGCCTTTTGTTGGCCGTTTGTCCTAATTCTAATGCTACTGTTTGTTTTTATATAAGAAAGAAAAATAGATTATTGTGTAAATATGTTGATATTCAGCATTATGACAAGGAAATGCCAATGAAAAGTTAACAAAAATTTTAACTTCCCAGACAAATGCTACAAATTCTCAACACTAAAAATTCTATGAGAAACAGCCAAACATATTATCTATCCATTTAAAACATCAGCAATGAATATAGATGTATATCACACAATCATACCAGACATAAACCAAAGTTACCATCTTAAAGCCAGACTATGCCACATAAAGGGCAGACTCCTTGTTGAAGTTCAGACTAAAATATAATACTGTAACCTTTAAATGGTGTCTGAGATATGTACAGAGGGGCCCCTGACAGTATTCGGGAAGATTAGGCAAGTTCAGACACAACACAAGATGGAATGGTTGAAACGAAGAAGTCTATTTCTTACATAATCATCACAACAGTTCTATAGTTAGCATGCACACAGACAGAATCATGCCATGCTGATAATACTAACATCATACAATGGTATGTTCAATATACAGGCCTATCCAACTACCAGACTCGGCACCGAATGATCCTGAATTCACCGGTAGATCGGACCACAATACCCGTTTTCAAGGTGTGTATCAGTACGCGCTTTGAAGTATCAGAGGCGACACCGCTCTTGCCTAGTACGCGATATGATAGTGATGATTCTCAGCAGAGTTGGAAAGTACTGCATCTCATCTCAAAACTTGTTCCGGGGTATGATACTGTGAAATGCGTACTGACGTACACCTTGAAAACGGGTAGTGTGGTTCGATCTACCGGTGAATTCGGGACCAGCTGAGTCTGGTAGTTGGGTAGGCCTGAATATATATGGTAAGAGTGGAAGCCATCTCCTGTATCTTCTGGACGACAGTCAGAACTTTTCAAGTTTACATTGACAGGCATCTATTTATTTCTGTCGGAAGATGGTCAAAATGGAGGATGGATCAACAAAGATAATTTGAAAGATTTTCCGAAATATCTCTGGATCTGCCCCTGAGTAAGCTAAGCCAAGGCACCATAATGAGGAGCCATGTGATCAGAAAAAATGTTTTTATCATTTGTGCTTCAGTTAAGTTTGAGAAATATGAAAAAAAAACTAACCATCATATTATTCAAGAACACATACTTGTTCAAGTGCCTATAACATGAACACAACATACTAGTAACCAATATTCATCAAAGTATAGCAAAAATAAAATAAATATCTACCTTAATTCCTGATCTTTTAAGTGTTCATAAGTTTTGGCAATCATATGATTCTTGACTCTAATTACGTAAGCCAAACTGTGTAATCTGGAAATGCTCTGCATGAAACAAGGTCGCTCCCCAAAACATGAATATAAATATGACAGAAATCTCAAGTACTCCAGTAAACTACGGAACTTCTAGGCATGTTTCCAAAACACTGTTGCAACATGTCAGAGAGAAGGGTTTCAGATACCTAAACAACAGTAAATCACATAATGTGGTTACATAATATGGTACAAATCCAGTACAGAGAAAATATAAATTTCAAATCCACAAACCAATTCCCCCTATATATTACAGAACTTCAAGGCTTCGTTCACATGAAAAATCTATTTTCTAAAAATCTATTTTCTATTCGCGGTATCTTGTGATCACGGTCTGTGCCCTGAATACCCCGCGGCGTAATTGCTGGCAACACGAGCCAGTTACTTCCAAAGCTGTAATCAATTCTTGGCTGCGCTCGGAGTGATCACAAGATACCGTGAATAGAAAATAGATTTTTAGAAAATAGATTTTTCATAAGAACGGAGTCTAACTCTACCCTTTTGATTCACAGCCTTGCTATCCCAGCCTTCTTGTTTATCATACCAGCCTTAGTATCAAACTTGACTTTGATAAAGTACATTTCATGAGGAGCTCACTGTTTTTATGACATGAATCATGGGCTGGTAATAAATAGTTCAATGCAATGCAGTCCTGGTAATACCACACCACCTTGTTTCTTCTGACACCTAATTCTCAACCCCAACTCCAAGAATTCGGGAACATTTAGCAATAGTGAAGTCATAAATTAAGCAGACTAGAGGAGAGTGTGACTACACTCAGCCACAAAAGTTTTTAGAGTGAATCACGCAAGTATAGACCACATAGTTACACTACCCCACATCTTTATTTCAGGAAACGCTACAAAGAAAGACCAAAGACTTCTTTGCTGAGCCATTTGACTTCATTTGAGCAACAAACAAGCGGAAAAAAAGGGCTCAAAAATTAATAAAAGCAGGTGTTTTCTATTTTGCCAAAATGTCTCATTTGTTTCCATTGCTGTAGGTTAAAGCTTTTTATATGTTATCACGCCGCAGCAATAGAGTTTACATAATGAATCATTCAAACACATTCAGCATAACTGTGGCATCACACAAGTTCACTGGCAGGAAATAATAGAGTGGAGTAGATGACTCCGCTGGAATCCGACTCTGATCTTTATCTCTGTATGAGCTGTTGGTCACTGATTGCCTGCTGTTTGAATCTCCGCCCCCGAAACACTGATATGCTTGTATTGGGCAGTCCACAACCTTGAGATTTTCCTCTCTCTCTCTCTCTCTCTTTTTTTTTTTTTTTTTTTTTTTTTTGTGCTAGCTTGGTTGTTCTCCTGAACCACCACCCTCAAACCCAACCCCCACCCCAAATTTCTTTTTTTTTTCTGTTTTTTTTTTTTAATTTTTGAGCTGGTGGGGGAGGGTGTGCCTAAATACCTTCAATATATTTCCAAGGACATCCATCAAGAAACAGAAACAGATCTCCACAAAAAATTAAGAGTCAAAAGTTCTGGACTTCTGCACACTAATAAGCTCAAACAAATGCAATTAATACCCAGAGACAGAATTCTGGAGCCAAGATAAAACAAGGACTGGAAGCAGATAATATGGAAACAGACATATTTACAAAACTTGAAGCAAACCATACTCAAACATTACTTGAGTAGAACATCAGTTAATAATATTTTAAATGTAACAACTCAGACATAAAAGTACTTTCTGTATTCAGTGTGTTAAAAAAAGTTTTATATTTTGTCAAAGGCTACTCAGAGGAGATTTTGATTTTGTCAGAGGACCTAAACACCAGTAGTGCAAAAAAAAAACAAAAAAAAACTGAATAAATGTTTTGCCAGAGAAACTGTTTAAAGTGCTCATAAAGCCAAATTAGAAGGCATTAAAGACAAATAATGAGGGTTCAACCCAAATTTCAACATGAAACTGCCAAAATGCATGAACGACCCAGTTTAAAAAACAAAATTGTATTCCATTCAGAGGAACAAAACTAATGCGTTTCAAAATTGCACGAGGCAGAAAAACATCAGTGTCTAGATCATAAGGTGGCCATGCATGCATGCAGCCATCACACGTGAAATACTCATTACTACCAATGAATTTTTTGGGGAAAACAGAACAAAAAAAGAGCAGTTCAAAAAAGTATGTCCCAAAGAAACTTTGCTGACCCATTTAGTAACAGAACTATTTGAAGACCAGAACAAAAACAACAAAAACACACAAAAACTATTGTCAGGAAGCCAATTAAGTCTTATATCCAACTGATTCAAGGTACCAAAGTTTATTTTTCAGTCAGTTACTACCAGTCACTATTGGTTTCATGCTATTCTTCCTCTTGCTCCCAGATTCAACTTTCAAACCAAGGATTACGCATTTCATAAAGGGGCCTTTTAGAAGCATGGCAGCATTTGTTATTTAACGTAACTTTGAAAAATACCATTCCACACGTAATAACACGCCCATAACACAATTAACAGGCAAAGTTTGTTCTCTTGCGCCTACACTACAAGACCTTTTAATGGACATGTGCCCTGGGACACATAAATCTTGATCAAATTAGCAACTGTTACGAGACTTTTTGTAACACATTTTAAAAGAAGCTGAAAGCTTCAGTGGTTTTGCTTTTATGTATTCTTTTTGTGCAACTTCTAACACCCCATTTCCAAAGATTAGATCTACTTTAGATCGACCTAACTCCCTGGGGGTTCATGCTAAATAGCTGTCAGCCGGGCGGACACGAAAGTTAATTACCTCCTTACAGCTTGTAGTAGGCGGGACGGACATTTAAGTCGGATTATCTGAAAGTAATCTAGTGAGACTCCCCGCGGGGATAGATCGATCTAAAATCTATGGGAATAGAGCCTAAGACAAAATAAGCGAACAGTGCTATTACATACTGCATGTGCCAAAACGCTTGGTATTGCTTTTATTTTCAAAATCAAGTCTACATATACGTTTCTCTTTAAAGAATGATAATCATAAATTTCCATTTTTAATTCAGCCTCCATGGCCATAACCCATCGAGAGGATTCGAGAGTGAAACTTACCTCTTTCTTCCTATTATATTTATTTTATTATTAACATCATGTGCTAGAGTCTCTAACTTGCTATGCTCTGAACTCTTAATAAGGGTACCTTGCACCATCAAAATGGACGTATATATATATATATATATCACCTCTGTGAAAACACTAGCTGCATGCTGGGATATCCATATTCTCCTAATAATTCTAATATTTCTGATGGATATATATGTACTGGTTAGCACCAGAGTGGCAGCAATTTATACCTGCTAAGAAAAAAATAACACCCAGGTGTGAAAGAGACTGACATTAAAGTAAACTGTAATTAAGATGGAAACAACCCATGTTTTTACCTTTTGAACCGCCCTGTGGTCACCAAGAGAACCATGAAATTATCAATTAACATGGACAGTTGAGGAATAGGCTATGTCTTCAAAATACAGGGTGAATCAAATAACTCTGAA